TCGATTAGTACCAACTTTTGTCAATAAAAATTGATTCTCTCAATTCTGCCCAACATTTACAAAATGTAGTACCAGTCATAGTGAAAGACAGTACCTAGGTATGGCAATATAGTACCGGATATCCTCTCCCTAGTACCACTTATATTGAACACATACGAAGACCGAATTTCGGTCGCAAATGATGTTAGTACGTCCCAAATTGGTCACAAATTGGTACTATATAATCCCTCTGACATTAGTTTATATGAGATTTGGTATTTGGTTAATTAAGTTTAATCACAAATTGGTCACGAACTCAACACACTACAAGTGGTATTAATATATACTTCAACTCATTGAATGGTACCTATTTTGAAGTTAATAGTACTGCCCTGTCTTCAACGAAGTACCTATTTTTGATCGATTAGTACCAGCTTTCTGGAATGAAAATGTAATACACCGATTACACCACACTGAAAGAAAAAGAAGTTGAACACACACAAGCCATAACCCAAGAAATGAAGGTACTCTCAAACCCCATAGCTGTCATAATTCTAACAATAAAAGACCACTCCACCCTATCAAAGGCTTTTGCCATGTCCAATTTAATGGCCATGAAACTCTCTTTGACTTTTCTCTTACTATTCAAGAAATGCACACACTCATTGGCTACCACTACATTGTCTAAAATTTGTCTCCCAGGCACAAAGGCAGACTGAGAAGGTGAAATGCACAGATGGAGGACACTTTTAAGCCTATTAGCAAGGATCTTGGATATGACTTTGTACACTACATTGCACAAGCTAATAGGCCTAAAGTCAGACAATGAAGTAGGGTTGCTCCTTTTAGGAATAAGAGAAATGACAGTATGGTTAAGGTCTTTAGGAATTTTCCCAGATTGAAAAAAGTTCTGAACAACAAGGATAAGGTGGAATTTAATGTAAGACCAAGAGCTTTTACAGAACCCTGCAGTTAGACCATCCATCCCAGGAGCACTGTTCTTGTCCAGGGACATGAGAGCAGATTTAATGTCAGCCTCCTCAACCCTTTTAATAAGGGATTTGTTGCAATCAGCTGAGACAGAAGGCTGAATGCCTTCAAGGCTGCAATACTGATCCAAAGGATTGGAGGATTTGAACAAATCCTCAAACTGCGCTTTGAAAAGTTTGTAGGGAAGCATAAGAACAACAACCTTGCCAGTCACCAATCAAGTCGTTTCTTTGCAAGTTTGTAGGGAAGAATAAGAACAACAAGCTTGCCAGTCACCATCAGTGAGTCCTATTCCAAGTCCCCGTAGGGTTGGAAAAGAAGCTGAAAACTGAATTCAACCTCGTTTCTTTGACTACAGATTTTTCGGCTTATTCAACAGATGAACTGGATTCTTCAACTAAAAAAAGAATGTTATGGCCCCTTTTTGGGAAGCTCGTCGTCTGGATGAAGACTAACTTCGCCGCCGGAACCTTGCTTATCCCTGCCCTGCTCTTCGGATGATGTCTTCCCCTGATATTCAAAGATAATTGATTGATATGCTGCTACGCTTCTCTCACTCTCAAGATTCTTCATGGTTTGTTTCCTCCACATTTAATAGTTTTGTTTGTTTTCCTTGTCTGACAAGGTAGGGCACTAGTCAAAGATGCGTTCTAAGAAAGAAAATAGGATATCCGTTTTCGACCTTCTTTTCAGTCTTTTATTCCCTTTTGACAGATCTTTCAATTATACGCTTCACTCATGCCCCAGGAATCCCTAGACACAGGTCTTCCTCAGCTATCTGAAATGAAAACAGTGGAATTGCAGGCAAGAAGCTCATAAACTATTTCTTGGTTGCTATTACATCTCTGGCCATTAGCCCTAACTAGATTACCAAGAGAATTAGTTTTCTTTCTGGATTTTACACAAGCTTGAAAGAATTTAGAGTTGCTATCTCCCTCTTTGAGCCAGAGGACTCTGGCTTTTTGACTCCAGAACAACTCTTCATTTTTATAAGTTAGATCTAAGTCATTCTTAAGGGAGTTCCAAACAGACCAGTTTCTATCCCCTCCTAAAGAGAGGAGGGAATTAAGTTTGGACTTACAACTCTCAATAGCTATGGATGAATTAGTGGGCTGACCACTTTTCCATCCAATTAAGGCTATCATAAGTGATATATTATGTTGAATCAATCATACATATCTAGTGGCCGGATCACGTAACTAACTAGCTTTGAAATGCTAACCTGACCACTCGGAACCACATCATCCAATTGGCTTGCGGGACTGTGAATTGTGTACAACATATCCAAATTCACTTTTTTCCAGAACATATATATCCCAAATTTATTTCTTAACATTATCAGTTATATATCAATCCAATATCAAAACATATCCAAATTCACTTTTTTCCAGAAAGTGGATTCCACTCTCAATTAAGCGGCGACACCAATAATTTTGAAGGGATATGGTTCTTTATCTTTTATTTCCAATTCTCACACTGATAGCTACTATTATATATAATGCCGTCTTCTTTTTCCCCTTTCTAATTTAGTCAATTCTTGATTTCTTTTATTTTTATTTTTAATGAAACAGAATAATCCATCCATTGTTTAGGGTTATATCACCCCTCATCTCCTAATAAAAGATGAGAAAAATGTATTGAATTTCATCCAAACAAACAAATCATCCATCAATATAGCCAATTGAGGCTCCTAGTTCTTTAGTATCTTTTTGTACTGTAAATTGTATTTGGGTATATTGTGCCTTGCGTGTGTGAGTATGGCATTCTTATAATTCACTGTCCATTTTTACTTAATTATTCGAAAATTATTTTATTAGCTATGTCAATTAATTTAACCAAATTAAGATTTTTATATATGATACTATTATTGTTAAATGTTACAACACCATCAAACACTGTAAGAAGGGACCTTTAGAAAAAAATGATAAACCATGATTTTTTTTTTTTCGTCTAGCAAACATAAAGAACTAAGTATAATTAGTTATCGAATTATAATTAATATTTCAAACGTTCATTATTCTATACATAATAAATATTCGTTAATTAAATGCAAATAATACACGTCACATTTCAATTCATTCACCGTGGCATTCCTAATTTGACACATTAAGGGGTGTATTCAATTCGGAATTTAAGTGACATTTTAAGATTTTTCGAGATTTGAGACTTTCTAGGATTTTCAGATTTTGGAAGAATTCTATGAAATCTCAAGTCCGGAGGTAAGATTTGAAGTGGGATTTCATATAAGGTTTTTTGTTTAGAAATCCCACAAAATCTTAAAAAGTCTTAATAAATCCTACTGTCAAAAAAATTAAATACCTCAGGATTTTGTAAGACTTTCGAAAATCCCAATTGAATACCTCAGGATTTTTAAAAGTTTTAAAAAGTCTTAACAAATCTAAATTGAATACACCAGGATTTCTAAAATCTTAAAAAGTCCTTAAAAATCCTAATTAAATACACCCCCTAATTTTCGATGATCGAAAAACGATCATAGATGGTATGACCAATTATTGGAAGTATTGGATCTAGTGCCAACATCAACAGTAGCCGCCAGATGGTATGCAAAATAACATAGAAATTAATTGTGAAGCAAAAAGTAAAAAACTTCATTTGGAGGTGTTTCCATAGATGGGTAGGTACTGATCAAAGATTACTGCAAAAAGGAGTCCAAGTGGGTTGCATCTCTTGTTGGTGTGGTGAGGTGGAAGAAGACCTGGATCATTTGCTGTTCAATGGTATTATAGCACACAAATGCTGGAAGTTAGAAGGTTTATACTGGGAAGTTTTAGAGCATCAGCAAGGAGGTTTCAAAAGTTGGTGGCAAGAGTTATGCGGTATGAAGTGGACTGCTAGAAACAGGACATAATAGCTCTCTCCACTTATATGTTATGGTGGATTTAGAGGACTAGAATTTCCTGGAAGTTCAAGGGGGAGTACTTTTTAGAAATGCAAGTGGCTGAGGGAGCAAGGAATGAATGGTTGGAGTTTGAGAGTGTTATCCAAGTAAGAATTGGGGTGCAGGTATTGGCTGAGAGATCTGAACTGAATCAGGCAATAGGGGAGCAGACTGTGGCTCCTAGTGTTACTGTTTTAGATCAAGACTTCGGGGTAATTAAGTACTCAGTCTGGAATGTTGATGGACAGGTTGTGAACTCAGTGGAACAAACTCTGATGGAGTTAAGGGAGGGGCTGACTAGAGGAATCGGGCTTGGATGGCAAATGGTGAATCTTTGGTGCAGAAACCGAGCCATGTTCAAACTGCTAGCTGAAGGAGGGGAATCATATTGGAGTTTCAGGGTGTTGCTTGATAATATTCAGTTTCTGCTTTCTTTTTTCATTCGTGTTAAGTTGTGTTGTTAGTTTACTTTTTGTTTGTTGCCGGTTTAGTTGCGTTGTTAGGACTTTTGGTTTTTTATGCTTGGTGACAATGTGAGGTCTTTAGGGGTTGTTGAAGTTCAATACTCCCTCTTAGTTGTACTTTGCCTAGACTAGGTTTGGAAAAAGTTTGACCCCAACCTGTTAGTTCTGTTTACATTTTGAGTTATTTGGTTATAAAATTTGATGGTTTGCATTGACAAAAAATAAAAAATAAAAATGATCATAGATGGATTGCAACGATTAAAGAATTCGTGCTCGAAATGAAAAAAATGAAAAATTTGTAATTTAATTATAAAAATGATAATAGTTCCTAAATTTACATGTAATTAAATTAAACATGGTATGAATTATGAAATACTACTAGGCAACATAATTATATTGNTGGACCCCAAAAAAAAAAAAGAAAAAAAAAAGAAAAGAAAAGAAAAAAAACTCTACTTAAGAAACCAAGCGCCACTACCTTTTTTACCCACTGATTTTGCATTCTCAACTCTCAAGACAACATTAGACCATTCTAGCATCAAACTTCCATAAACCCCAACTCAATTTTTCTCTCGTCTTTCATTTCTTTTCTATTTACGATTTACCAATAAAAAAATAGAAAAACCAAAATGAAAACTCCAATAATAATCCTCTATCTCGCTCTCCTCTCACCGGCGATAGTTCCGGCCACCGCGAAACCACCGCAAAACAACCAATCCCTTATCGAGTCCATATGCAAGCGCACTCCAAACTACCGCCTCTGCCTCACCACCATCCGGGCCGACCATACCAGCGCCGGCTCCGACGTGGCCGGGCTCGGCCTTATCCTGATCAGGGCCGTCAAGTCCGAGACCAATAAAGCTCTCTCCGCCGCCGCTAGGCTCGTCAAGACCCACCCCCACCTGAAGGCGCCGCTCGGCAAGTGCGCGGACGTGTACAGGGCCGTGATCGAGGCCGACGTGCCCGTGGCAGAGCAGTCGATCAGGGGAAACCCCAAGTTCGCCGAGAATGGGATGGCTGACGTGGCAGTGGAGGCCGACGCCTGCGAGCGGGCCCTTGGACGGGCGACGGCGGCGGCGGCGCCGGAAACGCCGATGACGGCGGCGAATCGAGCCGTGAGGGATTTGGCAGTGGTTGCCAGGGCTGTTATTAGAAATTTGCTCTGAAATGACTGTTTTATTATTATTTATTAATACACGGATAAGAGATAAATATATGTTCAATAATACACGGATAAGAGATAAATATATGTTCATNGCACAAACTACGGTCAATACAGATGGTCAACGGTCATGTCAAAGGCCAAATCAATAGTTAACCAATTAAAAAATAAAAAGATTAAATATTGACCAAACACTTTGTTCACTATTTAATAACTAGGGTTGAGTCTCACAGTCTCATTTTAAGAATAAGATACATTTGATCCAATCCATATGTAGTATATACATTTATGTATTTTGAGAGGGAAAAGAAAATAAATAAGAATAGTATAGCATAAGCATAAATTCCACAACATAAAAAATAACATATTGAAAGTTAAATAATTCTAATTATTTCTTTTTTGTTTTTTTATATTGAAATAATTTTGCATAATAATTAATAACATGTATTTTTTTATGTCAATATAATATACATATATACATATAACATATATAATATATACTACTAGAAAAATCTACAGGGGCCCGTGCCCCTACGGGCCCCTATGTAGATCCACCAATGGTAACAACCGTATTTCTATACACGATATAATCATCTATTAACAACGTAAAAAGTAATAGTTATCTTATCTATAATGTAACAGTATGGCCAGTGTTTTCAGACCCGGCCCGGACCGGCGGGTCGACCCGGGACCCGGTCGACCCGAAGCCAGACCCGGGCCGGTTTGGTCAATCAGACCGTCTTGCATATGGACCGCTATAGACTCGGGTGACCCGTCCGGGTTTGTTGTGACCCGGATGACCCGAATGGCCCGGTTTCGTTTTTTTTTTTTTTCCCGTCTGTTCCTATTCTAATAAGGTTAGAAAGATTTTGTTTTTTTTCCCGTCTGTTCCTATTCCAACGATTTAAACCTCAATCCCAAAGCAAAATCTTTCTCCCATATTCTAATCTTTCGCCGAGAACATAAACCACGCCGGGAAAAAGAAAAATCTTTGTGCTTGTGCGTCGACTATCAAACATCTTGTCTTCATCATGTAGTCAGGTATGAAGCTTCTTACTTTTTTTTTTCTTTATTCAGACTCTTGGTAAATGGTAATTTTGATTAGCATATTTGGTTTGATTGTTAATTTCATATAGTTTCTTTTGATGGTTTTTTTCTTGAATTCCAATTAGTTAATTTAGTTTCCTGTACAAAAACTAAAAAAAAAAATTATTAGATATCTTTCAAATGTACAAATCACCACACGGTAAACAAAATGCACATGTAGCTGTTAGCAAATTCATATGAGCAACTGCTAGAAAAATCAATTATATTCATATAGATGTATCAAACATTATAACACATGCAAGAAAGTACTGTACTAAAACAGAGCTTTCGTTTTTGTTCTTAGGCTAAAAAAATTGGCTTTAATAATATTTGAGCTTTTGGTGGCAAGAAATCTTTTTTGGGTGGCAAGAATCATAAATTGATTGTTAATGGCTCCAATATTTTTTATTATTAGCTTTATTTACAAAGATTCTACAAATTGGGGAAAGACTTCACCAACTTTATTCAATATTAGCTTCATTTGTTTTTTAATTGCTTCAGTAATAATTGAGAAATTGGATTCATAGATTTTTACTCAATAATTCAATATATATGTGTTGCTGCGATTGAGAATAAAAAAACTAACATCATGGTGTTTGGTTGAATTTTTAGGTGGTCTACTCGTAATGTCGTCTAACAATCCTACACAAGAAACCTCTGAATCTGTGCAGAAACCCACTACAAGAGGAAAGACTGATATAGCTTGGAAACATCGTCGAGTTGCTGAAGGGCAAAATTCCAAGCGTGAGTTAATATGCCTACACTGCAACAAGATTTTCAAAGGAGGTGGGATTAATAGGGTGAAGCAACATTTAGCAGGCATAAAAGGAGATGTGGAGCCATGTAAAAAGGTTTCAGCTGATATTCGTTTTCCGATTCAGAGCAACATTGAAGATTTTTCCAAAAAAAAAAAGAAATATACGAGAAGAGCAAGAAGAAAGTAATGACTATCCGAATGAAAGCTTGTATTGTGATGATGTTGTAGAGCTTCATAGCTCTTTTGGTCGGGCCTCTATTACTAAAGAGAAACAAAAAGAAAAGGGGAGTAAGACTGTGCAAGCGTACTTTATGCCCAGAACAGTTCCTGGAGCCCAACCCACCATCAAAGTGTGTTGCAGAGTAAAGAGGTGAGGGAAAAGTGTGACATCGCCATTGCAAAATGGATGTTTGCTAATAATATCTCTTATAATGCTACAAACTCATCTTATTATCAACCAATGATAGATGTTATAGCTGGTATGGGTGCTGGTTATAAAGCGTCTGGTGTTTCGAGCGTCCGTGGTTACTTGCTAAAGAAAAATGTGGAAGAAATAAATGAGTTTGTTCACGCTTATCGGAAGAGTTGGAAAGAAACAGGGTGTACAATTATGGCCGACGGATGGACTGACCAACGTAGGAGGACTTTGATAAACTTTCTAGTTTATTGTCCTAAATGGACCGTGTTCCTCAAATCAGTGGATGCTTCAGATACTTCAAAGACTAGTGAAATATTGTTCCATCTTTTCAAAGAAATTGTCACCTCAGTCGGGCCTCAGAATGTTGTGCAATTTGTCACTGACAATGCGGCCAATTATCATGTTGCTGGAAAATTGTTAGAACAAGAATTCCCGACTCTTTATTGGTCTCCATGTGCTGCTCACTGTGTTAATTTGATGTTGGCTGATATGGGTAAGTTGAACGAGGTGGAGGAAGTCGTGGAACATGCTGCCAAAATTACAAAATTCATTTATAACCATTGTTTTGCTTTGCATTTGATGAGAAAGCATACTAATGGGAGAGAAATCCTACGTCCTGCCCCAACTCGATTTGCAACAAATTTCATTGCTTTGCAAAGTATTTTGGCACAGAAAGTTTCTTTGCAAGCCATGGTGACTTCCAAAGAATGGATGAGCTCAACACATGCTCGAGAAAGTAAAGGAAAAAAGTTTGTGGATCTTATTTTGGATTCACGATTTTGGAAATCTTGTGGCTATATTGTGCAGATTACTGAACCTTTGGTCCGTGTTCTAGGAATCGTGGATAGTGAAGACAAACCGGCAATGGGTTATCTATTTGCAGCTTTCCATGCAGCTAGAGACGAGATAATAAAAAGGTTTCAGAGAAGAAAATTGTTTGTTGAGCCGTTTCTTAGGATTCTTGATAGGCGGTGGGATAATCAATTAAGGAAAAACCTTCATGCTGCTGGATTTTGGTTTAATCCAAGTTATCAATATGACAGTGAATTGATGAAGAAGCATAAAAGCACCGTCTCTGGGGTTCTTGATGTAATAGAAAAATACACTTACCATGGTAGCCAACTTGGTCTGAAGTTGTCGAGTGAAATGACAACATTTAGACGTGCAGAAGGGGATTTTGGAAGAAAACTTGCAATGAACAGTCGTAGTACAATGATGCCTGGTAATAACTTAATTTTTTAATTTACATGTTTTTTTATAGTTTTCAAGTTATTATTAATTTTTTATTTTTTCTATTACAATCTTATTAGATGAGTGGTGGCGATGTTATGGTTCAAGTGCTCCGAATTTGCAAACACTTGCAATTCGAGTTTTAAGCCAAACATGCAGCTCTTCGGGGTGCGAGAGAAATTGGAGTGTATTTGAACATATTCATTCAAAGAAGCGAAATAGGCTAGAGCATCAAAGATTAAATGATCTTGTTTATGTTCACTACAACTTGAAGCTAAGGAAGAGGTATCTTGCCTTTTTTTTTTTTTTTTTTNACTTAGTGCTTAAATTTGCTTACATTGACTTTGCAATATTTATAGGAAAGAGGTGAAGAAGAACTATGACCCAATAAGTTTTGAGTCATTTGAAGAGATTGGCGATTGGATTTTAGAAGACGAACCGCCGTCTTTAACGGTTGAAGAATTAAGAGTTCTTGAATGTGAATTTACCTCTAATGCTACCACTGAGAAGGATGTTATTGCAGATTTTGATTTGAGTTTGATATTTTTAATTATTGATTACATTATTTTATTTTCAACATAGAACATTGTGTAACCCTTTTTTTTTTTAACTAGAACATTGTATAACCTTTTTTGTAATAACTTTTCTTGTACAAAATTGAATTTGCATGACATTATTGATGACGACGATGAAGAAGAACATGGTGGTGTTACCAATAATGATGATGCAACCGAGGAACCTTCTAATATGGAGCAAAATAGGAGGCTTGTTGACACTTTCGGTGTTCCCCTTACGGGAGAAACAGACAATCCAGAAGCTTGGGGCTATTAGTTTGATTTGTTTTATGAATGTTGTTAAGAATATTGGATATTTGTATGTTTGGATTATTATCTAGCATGATTTTTGTGATCTTTAATGTATGGACTAATTAAAATGTTGGAATCATTTATATATATATATATATATATATATATATATATATATGTATATTCCGGGTCAACAATTGACCCAGTGACCCGACGGTTGAACCGGTGACCCGGTGACCCGGAAGGAAGCCCGGGTCAATGACCGGCCCGAGTCTGAAAACTATGCATTAGACTATCTTTATACCCAACCCAACCCAACCCAATAATAAAAAATTATTTCTCTCTCCTATACCTACACAACCCAACTTTTAACAACCTACATATCTTTATCCCTAACCCAACCCAATCCAACCCAACATACTATTTATTTTATTTTTATTTATTAAATATTATCTACAATAAATTTTTTGTTATTTTTTTAGTTGTGATAAATTAATTAAAAAAATTATAATTAAAAATATTGATTTCAAAAAATTAATATTTTAAAATACTACTAAAAAAAAATATTACAAACATAATTAAAAATTGAAATTACATAATTCTGTACGAAATAAACTAAACAAGTTACAAACATTTCAATTGAAATTACACATCAACTACCGTTGCCAAATTTTTCCCATATGCGCTCAATCAGTCATTTTTC